CCCAAAAATACTCCAGGACTGCCCTAAAAATACACAAAAACACCCCAAAAAATACACCAAAACACCCCCAAAAATACTCGAAAAAAACCCAAAAATACTCGAAAAGACTCCCAAAAATACTCAAAAACACCCCCGAAAATACTAAAAAACTGCCCTAAAAATACTCCAAAAGTACCCCAAAAATTCTCTAAAATTACTCCTGCAGCTCTACCTTTTGGTCTCCATCTCTCAGGGATCCTTCCTGCTGCCGGCAGCAGCTCTTTGCCAGGGCCAGGAGCACCCATACAGGTGGTTCCCACCCCTGCCTGGTTTTGGGAACCATGCTGACCTCATGCTATGACGTGGGGGTGCACATTCACAGTGCTGCTCGGTTACTGACCCTGTCCATACCAGCAATCAGTTCCCAGAGGGTTCAGTCCCAAATGACACAGATTATTTCCAGCCTCTTCAGCCTCATTGTGAGAAAGGGACTGAACCACCTGGTCCCCAGAAGGCACAGAATGAATCTGGGTACGGCGGGAGGGAGGGCTCCATCCCCTCTCCTTCTTGGCCGGGAGATCCCAACATGAGCCAAGCCATCTCTAACCACAGGAGTTTCCAAGGAAGCTCTACCAAAACTACAAGTGCCAAGCTGAACACTCATGGAATGCTGCAGCGTTCCTGCTCCAGATGTCGGCTCAGTGATTTACCCTCTTGCTGCTCGGCTTGAAACGCCTGAGCAAGCAGCCCTTGCAAACGCTTTATTGCACACACACACTTGCCTACGTTTTGACCTGAACCGTGCTTATTAACCTTTTTTTTTTTGGTGTAATAACAGTCCAGTGTTCTTTGTAGGCAATCTGTCTTCAAAGATCTCCTTTTTGATCTTTTCATAGGCTAAGCAACAATTCATCCTATATAAATCTCAGATTGAAAGTACATAATTTGTTTTTCCCTGCTTTTTTGAAGCGGTAAGAGATGAAACGGCTTAGGGCAATGTCAGCAGCAGTTATATCTTAATTGTTTTTTCTCTGCATCAAAACGCCTTGAACTATTCACTTGCATGCAGGAGCTCTACGTGACCTTTATAGCAAGTGCTTTAACTCCCCTAACAAGTTGTATCCCATCGCCGACTTCAGGAGTTTGCTTTGGTAGCAGCTCCAATACTAATTTTTCACCTAACCCTCCTTCTCTCATGCTCTTTCTGTTCAGGCAAATCAAAGAGTTTGGAATGTGCCTGAAGTCAGGACCATGAAAAGGAAGAGGGAGAACCAGATAATTGAGTAAAATAAAAAAGAATATTAAAAAAAAAAAAAAAAAAAAAAAAAAAAAAAAAAAAAAAAAAAAAAAAAAAAAAAAAAAAAAAAAAAAAAAAAAAAAAAAAGGGAAAAAGCATCCCAACCCCCTCCTAAGCGTGGCTGTAACGCAGTTGATCGAGTAGACATTAATGCTAAGCAAATTCCTCCTTTATCCCTTAAAGCTGGACTCAGCAACCAGAGTGAATTTACTTTGCAAAAAGATCAGTTTAACAGCTCACAAGGAATATTTGCACAGTGCAAAAATTTGCATCAGTGTTAGACCAATGGTCCTTCTTTTCCAGCATCATCCTGTGCTGCTTGGTTTCTGCCTTAAAAAGGGGCTAATTATTAGTTTGGGGTTTTTTTGTTCCACCCTTTGCATCATGTTGAATAATGAGTAAATTCCTTTATCTACCATTTCCCTTCTTTTCAGCCCTTTTTCTTAAGATAGGTTATGTCTACCTTGCAGATCCTGAGGGCAAGCAGTGCAAGAGGGGTGAGTCAGTGAGAGGCCACTGTGTCCCTGCTGGTGGCTCTTCTAGGAAAGGAAAATCTGCGAGTGGGGTTCTTTTCTCTCAGTGCGAGACTGTTACCAGGAAGGCTCATACGAGCCAGGAGGCTGCGTGGGGCTGTGCTGGCAATTGGAGCACACACTCACTGGGTTGTGTTAACCTGGTTTGGCATCCCCACAAGGTGTCCAAATTCCCACGGTAAAATCTGGAGGGTAAGGCAGCTTGTGCAAGAGGCGAGCGCGCTGCTGGGTGGAGCGTGCGTTTTTGCTTGTGTAATGGCGAGGTGAACCAGCAGAGAGGAAAGCCGGTCTGGAAACAAAAGCTGGCATTTGGCAAACAGTTCCGTCTTCATTCACATGATGCCTCATTAACAACACACAAGCCTGGATTTTTTTTTTTTTTTTAATTTTTTACTTATTTTTTTTTTTCCCCCTTTTTTTTGGATGCTTGTCAAACAGGAGTGATTTATGGCATTTATTGTTTGAGATTCATGGCTCTGGCCTGTCAGAGGTTGGTGGTATTTAGGACAGCAATATGAGCATATGGAAAAAAGTAGCTCTGCCTGCTATTAGTGTGATGACTGTAAACTGTTTGGGAAAGGGAGGATGAAGGTTCTTCCATGGGCAGGTCACAGCTATGCAACAGAGCTGTTTGCACACTGATTGGAATGAAAAACATGGGAAACAAAGCTAAAAACTGTGAGGACTTGAGCTTCAGGGGAGAAGTCCTGAACAGAGATATTGACACAAAATCAATTTCTTGTGGACTTTAGGAAATAATTCGGATATTTATCCGTTGGTGGGCATAAAATGACACGGGACTGGGTGAAGTACAGTGATGGCAAGGCTTTGGGGCATGTAACACATGTTCCAGCAGCAGGAAAAGCAAGTCTCCCACCCAACTCCATAACCCACTACTTGCGCTTACAGGCTCAACTAGAAAGGATGTTTTCTGGCTGTAATTGTTTCCAAAAGGGTTCAAGCTAAGATGCCTCAGAAGAAGGTGCACAAGGTCCTAAGGTTATGTGCTACCTCAATGCAATGTCGGGCAGTCGGGGCATGTCTCACATCCTAAACTTGCCTCCCGAATCGCCGAGCTCGCAAGCAGCGAGAGATTTCCTCGTGCTGTAACTAGCCTGACCTCTTCTTATGCATTCTTTTTCAGTGAGAGCCTCCTCCACACTGCACTGTGCTGAGCTGGCTGCCTCGGTGAGACCTCATCTGTTTGAGGAACTGCCATCAAGGCAGCATTTAACCAAGGATGAATTTATTACAAGTCTCCTTTATTTTAAAACAGGAAAAGCTTGTTTAATAAGGAGAGTGGAAACACACAGAGACCATTTTCATTTTTCCAGCTACCACAAATCCTAATCCTAACCAGATAGCAAACCCCAGATAACTGAACATACTGAAATTGAAGCAAAAGCTCTGTTATCCCAAATACCAAACTCCTCAGAAGGTACCCTAACACTGTGCAAGACTCCTGAGAAACCACAGACTGTCCCTGATTTTCAGCTGGAAGAAGAGTACTTGCCATTTGCTTCTGTATCAGATAGGGCAGCAGGGTAGTACCTCCAAGGCTTTCTTCCTAGACAACCCAGGCGTGGAGGAGCTGTTAATCGTGGTGCATCCTGAGTAGGCAACATGCCAAATGAACTTCTCTTGGAGCACTTCCAGCTGCTTCAACTTTCAGATCCAGAAACTGAGCTTTTTTTTTTCCCGCCCTCAAATGAGAAGCCACGAACGTGAAGGCTGCATCATGAGAATGTGTTCCCACAGACTAAACTTCAGCGGTTTTTTATCAGGTGCTGTGATGGCAATCAGGCACAGATGCACCTAGACTTACTTTTTGGTATCGCTTCACTGTTTTTCAAACTTCCGGCTAGCTTCACATTCAGGCCCAATCCTCAAAAAACACCAGCACTGATTTTTAAAAAAATTTTCTCTTCAAACAATTAATCACTTCTGGTTTGTGCACACCCACACTCCCAGTATTTACCATCCAGCCTGGACTTATCTGGCCATGACATTCTGCCAACCAACTCATCAGTTCTTCATACTCCTTTCTGTTAAAGGAAGGGGCTGTGCAAGTACCAGTTAGTTACCTTTCCTGTAGACAAAGTCTATGGAAAACAGAGAAGCCTAAGAAATGCTCATCTTTGCCACTATCAGCGAGATCTGCAATGGGAAGAGCACGGCTGGGTTTTGACAAGATCTGTTTTCTATTAGGCTGTGTAGACTCACATGAACTCTGCTTGAACGAATCCCAGCTCAGCTTTCCCATCGCTTTCCCCAGGATGAACATCTTGCTAGGCAGCTTCATTACCCACCCATCTCATTTGCACTCCCTGGATGCTGGCACATTTGCTCTCCATGTTCTGGAATTTCCCGTTTTCTCAAAACTGAAGTCCGCCTTTCAGGATTCAGGCACATAAATTACTTCAGTGTGCTAATTTGCAGATGTTTATCTCCAGGTAGCAGCACTCCTCTTTAACCATGTAGTGGAAAGTGCTTCTTTAGGATGGGGGGACTGTCATTCAATTTCTTCCAATATAAAGAGGAACAAACCTGGTGAACTCGGAATTCCTAGCATCCCTGGCACTGCCCTGAGCCAGCCTGCATATGGGCAAGCTCCATTCATTATTCCCTGCGTGTCAGACACGCCTTTACCCTGTGCCTGCCCTAGGGCACTGCAGTTGTAGTAGGTTACAAAATCTACTTTTTTAAAAAATAAGGCCCAGAACCCATCGCTGTTCCTCCTGCCTTCTTCCCTCATTCCTGCCCTAGCACTATGTCACCTGAGCATCAGCATTACACATTTTGTGACTGCAAGGTATTGATGTGGGAATATCTTAACACGTCATAAACTGGTTTGCCTGTCAGCACCTCATCCAGTCCATGACCAAACTGCACAGATAATGTGGAACCTTATAGCACTGCCTCCCTAAAAACCCCAAATCCTACAAAACACTGCAGACTGTTTATTTGCAAATTAAGCAAGTTTGTTCTGATTTACATCAAAAAACTCCATAATTTAATGTTTACAAGGGCTCCTGTTCTTTGGCTTTTGACAACAAAGGAGGATGTTGAGCCAGGAGCCGCACGGCCAAACAGCCGGAGTGCGCCGTGTTAAAACACTTCACCATTCCCTACCGAAGGCAAAGGTGTTCATTTAACTCAGGAAGCGTCACGGATCAGACAGGCACCAACGATCATGTTTCACAACTTTAATAGAATATTCTATCTATTCTGTACAAATTGAAAACACTGTATTAAGTTACAAATGTGTAAGGTAAGGCTGGAGCACTCTACATGCCTGGTCACAGTGTTGATACAGCTGCTATTCAACTGCTGCCAGAGGTTGGCAATGGATGCTGAAACTAGAAACGTGTACCTGAAGTGCCACACAACAACAAAAGGTAGTTTTGAAGACTTCAGAACTTTAAATAAAACAAAGTGTGGAATGGAATAATTTCAGTGTTGCAAGTAAGACACCCAAACTTCAGATTTATTGAACTGGTTCATTTTGATAAATTTCCGTGTTCAGAGCGAAAGGTCCTTTCATGCTGGACACTAAGCAGTAAGACTACTGGAAATGTTCTGGTTCTTTGGCTGCAACCCACTTCCATCAACAGCAACAGTTTGGCCTTTGCATTTTGATCTTCGTCCAGAAGAGTTGTCATTTTGATGCAAGTTTGTTTCTTCTGTCTAGACTACTACATTGAGACCAATTTGAATTATTTGTTTTACAAGTACCCATATTGTATGCAAAAGAGGAAGAAGATTTTTCAAGTATATTAAAAACTATTAAAAAGCACTAATCCTGTCAAAGTACTTACAAACATGAATAAATAAATAGTAAGATGAACAACTAAGTCTCAAATATGACACCCTCTTCAATGAAGTAAAATTACTTCAACTCGATTGGTTGTACTGAGATAATAAATACGACATTTAAAGCTGCTCAAGCACTAGTTCAATTTGTAGGTTGCCAGAAACATTAAAAAAGGGGGGAGGGAACTAGCAAAAAAGTCATATTGCTCTATCTGTTTCAGCTACCATACATGTAATCCATTTACTTTAGCTTCTCAGCACATTGCTATTCCACGATTTTCAATGTTTAATGAGAAAATGGATAATCCTCACATGGTAGTCTGGACTATTCCCCTATGCATAGGGCAAAAGGCTCTAAAGGCCTATTGACATACTTAGCTACAGTGTACCAACGGCTGTAGAGTGTGCTTTATTTAAACCTCATATTTCCCAAATGCATTGAAGTTGCCACTGTACATGTTAAGCAATAAAGTTAGTGAAAATCATGCATTTTAAAACAAATTAATTGTAAGCATTGTTAATAAGATTGTGCTGCAGCGATGGAATATCCTGAACTGCAGGCCAGGTATCCAACTATTTGTTACAAGTTGTTCAAATATCACTTCCAAGTGGTATTTCCTTATTACTGTTGTTTGCATTCAGCAGGTTGGCTGGACTCTTTCTGTGTAAAATGAAAAAGAAAATAAACAGTTACAAATCAAAATGGCATATAAGAACACACTTCAACAAATAAGAGAAACTGGTTATGCAGTTTCAAATTAACTAGGTGTCATTAGCATGTACATAAATGCTACATGCAAACTCAGGCCACATCATAAAGGTCCAACAGCAGTCACCATATTTATTGGGTTCCCCCCTGCCCCCAGCTGCTTGGTACCCCGTAATTTTTAATCTACTTTTGTGTTCTTAACACTCCATCCTGTAGGCCAAGGTTCAAACAAACAATACAGTAAACCACCTCCCATTCTGCCCAACCAGAGGCTCTATGTGACTTTCAGTTCCCATTAAACAATTTTAACAATAAACTGCCACCTCCTCCAACTCTGAGGAAGGAGGAAGGCAGGGAAGGTAGGCTGCTTATTCTGCAGCACGTTCCAGTTTTTCCTTAGGAGCCTTGCCCTTTCTGGTAAGGTGATAAAAATGTAATTAATGTGTTGATTTCTTGTAGGTTCTGCATCACCAGCAGGTAACTATTCAAGAATTTAATGCTGGGCAAGAAGTCCATATGTTAATGTGAATATGTAAAAGTAGAAACACCTTGATTAGGTAGTAAAACAACTTCCCCTTTGGCAAAAGGAAGTGTATTTGGGAGTGAGAACAAGTGCTTAAACAGCTAAGAACTTCAAGTTTACACTGCACTTCTTGCTTTTTCTGTTGTAAAATAGGATTCTTAGAAAGTAGAATTTATTCAGTGAATTTTTGCTTTGCTTCTCCCTTTACCATTCTTAGCATAGTTTGTTATAAACAAATAGCAGTCACTGAATACTAGTAAAGAGAAATAAAGGTATAAAACATGACTTGAATGTCACTGACACAACATAAAATGTTTCTTAGTAACTATCATGAAGAGCTCTGTATGTTATAAAAGATGTAATCATGCAAGAGTTCATTAAACATCAAGTAACCAAGAGCTAAGACAATTTAAGCTTTTTGTCTGTAGCGAGGAAGAATAGGTGCAACTAGTTTATGCTTCCTGATAGTTTTGCCCTTGATAACCTGCACTAAGCCCAGACTATTTTTCTGTTCCTCACCTAAACTGCCTGAGGGTTAGAGTGGTCACTATCATTCCCACTGCAAGTCTGGATTAGAGCCAAATGCTGTCTCTTCTGCAGATACGTCAAGGGACCTTTCAGACTTTGCCCTTGTGCTTTTCCTCGCCCAGCACATCTGGCTAATTTCAACTTTGTTCTCTCTTATCTGCCTGGGGTTCCAAGTAACACTGATGTGAATTAATTTGCACTGATCTGGGACTAAGCATGGGAAAAGAGAGATACCTTCAACCAGAACACAAAATTAGCATTCTTGCTCTTAAAAAAAGAAAAATCTAACTGCCACTGGTAGTACCTTGCATGCTACTCCTTTTTATTTAGAGGCAGGCAAAAACCAGCAGCATTTCATCAAAAACTTTCTAAAGGTTTATGTTTTTCTTATAACTGCTTTGTATTTGAACATGGCCACAGAGTAGTGCACAGCATCACTTCTCTCCTTTGAATGCTGGGTAAGAGCCATGATAAACTAACAAATCTTATTTAAAATATACTTAAGTCTTTCCATCTCCCTCCTTCCTTCCTATTCACCTGTTATATTTATACCAAGAACACACATCAAGATTGACCACTGCAACCGTTTTGGCCAAATTTTAATAATCAACCAAAACACTTGTTATATTTTCTATTAAACTGCATTATCTTCTTCGTATTTTAATTCTGTAAACATTTAAATTGTATTTATTGCATATAATTCTTTATCCTGTAAAAACTGATTCACACAAATCACAGAGTTCCTTCTTAAGGATCTTTCAGTGTTGATTACTGCTCTCAGAAAAAAAAACACAACCAAAATCAAACAGTGTTCCCGGATCTGAGTCAGTTCTTGGAGGATTTTGAAACAAATACTACTTTATGCTATTTTTAGCTTATGGTTGAAGGCGTATCTATCTTGACCATATATACAAAGTGTTTAAGCAGGTCATAAGTATCAAGACAGTATCTCAGATCCAGATTCCAACATAATCAGTTTTCTCCCACCATTTTGTCTTCCTCAGCACAGCCCTGAGCTCCACACTGCCTTCAGCTACCCTGTCAGCCTCACGCAAAGCATCTCACGGCCTGATCACAAGAGAACAACAGCACAGATAACCTACAATTCCCTTCAAGTTACAGCTGCTCCATCAGGCACGTGCATGTTTAAACCCATCTCTGGCCTCTAATGGCTCCTCTAAGATCAGGGACCAGACCCCAAGCTGTGAGTGGGATGGAGATCCTACACCCACACTCCCTCAGGCAGTGCTATTAAGCTTGAGCCTGTTCTTCCTGCAGTGTCTGGATTATTTAGTGACATTTGGTCACTCAATCGCTACCAATCCACTGATTTGCCTTAGAAAGACCCTGTACCCTTATCTCCCCCTTCTAGCAAGATTTCCATTCATCTGTATTTCCCTAAATTACCTTCCTAGGACATCTTAGAAAGGTGGTGAAGTGCATTGGCCAGGCAAATATAGACCAGAGAGGCCTTAACTGGCAGAGATAAAGAGGAATTGCATCTTGTTTTAAAATAAATTTAGCAGTAAACACATGTGCTGAAGATCACTACCAGTGCTACAGTGACTAAATTAAGTTAATTTTAAAACTGTTAGAATTTTTTTTCTATATCTTTAAAGTATTTCATAGTATTTACTTACTCTGTGCAAGGAGTGTAAACTACTCTGGGCTTTTGACTGCACTTCGAGGTGAATGAGCTAAACAAGGTGAGACTCCCACCTATTTTTTCCCTTTTGCTAACAAAGCTCAATATAAAGCTTTTTGTCACTGCCTCTAATCTATTATGCTTGCTTGGAATTAAAAATGTCACCTAACACTTGCAGGAACATAAGGTAAAATGGAGAAGAAAAGCAGGTCTGAAAAGCTGCTTTCATGACTCTCCTACACAAAGCCCACCATGTTAAACTGCTGTCCTACAGGATGGGGACGTAAGCCCAAAATATCCGTGCCATTTATTTTAATAATTTTGGTTTTTTCCAGACTGATCCTTCTTCACATGAAGTTACTACTAAAAGAAATACTCTATTTCTATAGGTCTTCAGTGTTTTAACATACTAGACAGGATACATTCCTAGGTGATGCAAAGAGCAATCAAGCCTTTATTCTCCTTACTTTTCCAATTCACTTTCTGGGAAGCTTTCCATTTGCTAAAAGTAGCCATGCAGGCACAGGCAGCTCACCAAGATCTCATCTGACTCCCAAACAACTCTGCTGCCAACAATGGAATCAACACAGGCAGTAGGCATTACAGCTGATGCCCATTCTAGCAGAGAAGGTTAGAAAGCCTTTCAGTATTTCAACTGGTTTCCATAAAATAGTCCAGTTAGGGGTCCTAAGGCCGAAATCTATCTTGGGTTATTTTCTATTCTATGTTATTGAATGAGAAAAAGCAAGGATCTAAAACATACACATGGGAAGTAAACCCAGAGCTAACCAGAGTTAAGTCAGCAAGCAGTCCAAACTACCTCTATAACTTAGAAGACAGACAAAGCACCTTGAAGCACATGCAGTCTTTCTCCAAAGCAGCTTTTTTGGTCATGATTCAAACCAATACTCTGTATAACCCTGTCAGCTACTTCTCAATTCAAGCGTGGCCTCAGTCATGTGAAATAAAGGCAGCTAAAGGAACACAGGGCATGCAAGCACAAAGAAAAATATACTAGACAAAACAAGCTACATTATCCAGTTTTGTAGCATCTTTTGAAGCTACTTCCAATCATCTGACTGCTCAGTCTTCCAAAGCCACAACTTATGTTATATATAAGTGCTTTGTGTAAGAGATGATAATAATCTGGTTGTAACTGAACAATTCAAATGTACTTAAAACAGACAAGAGTGAGAGGAAGGAAGGAGTAAAAATTAAAGTAGAAAGTGTTGACATGTACTGTTATACATTTGCTAAAGGAGGACGTAATATGGAAAAGACAGGAAACTGGATTTGAAAGGAGAACAGACCAATTATTTTTTTGTACATGACAAAGAAAACTATTCTAGATAAGAAAAAACAAGGGTGGGAACTGAAAGGGAAAAAGAGGCAGGGGACAGGACCAGAAAATGGGACAAACATAAGAAAGAATGGAAAACAGGATTGAGGTATGAGTGTTAAAAGACAAAACCAGAGAATTTCAAGTTGACTTCAAAAATTGGAGCCAGTGGCTGACAATTTTTAATTGTGGGAAGGGAAAAGAGCTGTGTAGCAGTCTGCAACAGGACAACAGATAAGCCATTGTGACAAAAGGATGTTCTACTCCTGCAGGTGAACAACCAGTGCAAGTGTGCTGAGGCAGGTGGGCTGGTGTCTTGAAGCACATCCCATCGGAAAATCAACACCAAAAACCAACACAAAAGCACAGCTCAATTTTGAGTTTAACCAAGGAAAAGAAGGGCATTATCTATGCAGAGGGAATGACATGGAAAGGTTATAGCTTCTCCTAAATAAGCAAAATAAAAGACAAGCTAAAATATTGGGGGGGTGGGCAGGGAAGTATGGAGGCTGTTGCAGGCATTGTTCTCTATGAGGAATGGGATGAAAGGTGAGAGATGACAGTATCCAATAGAAGGAACTTTTTCTTTCTTCTTTTAAACGAAGAGACAGATGAGCAGAAGAACAATACCTGTGCAGAATCATGAAAGATCAAGAAAAGGTGTCTAAGAGTGACTGACTGCCTTTGTCAGGCATCATAAATAAGATGGAAAAGACATACTAAGTAAGCCGATGACTTACAAGAGTTTAAGAGCAGAGAAGATACTTAAGAAATAATTTGCAAGTACACTAGAAACAGTAAAGAGATGCAACATCCAACCAGAAACAAGGAAAAAAGTCTGACAAGTCTCAGTATCTTTTATCATATGTATACGAAACACAGTTTGACTGCTACAAAGGCAAAGCAGAAGGCAGGAAGGCAGAGTTGTCCTGAAAAATCTAATTTAATTATACAATTCATCTCTATACACATTTTTGCCTGTTTTTTACTAATAAAACCTAAATTCTGAAGTCACAATTTCCACATTTCTTTTCCCCATAAAAGGATAAAATAAAAAACAAAACAGAAAACCCTAAAAAACAAACCACATTACATGACTACAAATGGGACTCTTGGAAGTTAGGTATGAATGGAATTCCACCTTACCTAGAAATGTATGAATGATAAACAGACTTATATTACACCTAAATGGGAAAAAATTGAAAGGAACTGTCAGCATGGATGAAAAGTGAAATGTACAAAATAATACAGGAGGCAACAAACCATAACCTTCCAAGATAACCTAACCTTTTTTTTTTTTTCCCCTACAGAATGCCAAATCCTTTGGAAGGATATTTGATACTTGACAAAAATATACGTTGACACAGAACGAACGCTGTTTCTCAGCTGTCCAACTGTTTCCCATTACAGGTACACCACTGCATCTTGATCCTACCAAGCAGTCAGAATACTTATTTCTGCCACTCTAATCCTGTTTGATTAATCTTTGCACAAGACAGACTTTCTTTAGTACACAGTATTTCTCATTAAAGAAAACCTAACTTGATTCTCGATACAGTAGCAAAAAGCATTACTAGTGATATGATGATGTATATAAAACCACACCAGAGGAGTAACAGATTAAGCTGCTGTTAAGACTTTCATCCAAAGATCAAGCAGTTTTGCACACCTTTCACTTTTTCATCTGTCTTTATAAAAAATTACAAGCTGATGTTTTAAGAACTAAATGAACCCAAATCTGTCATCGCTGTCCCAGCTTCACTAAAGATAAGCATTAACTTTACCAGGACCGAAGGACTGAAAAAGACCTATCAGAAGGAGGACTAACCCTTAAGGCTGAATTTTACGTCAAGTATCAAAGTTTCAAATTCAAAGGTGAGGACTAACTTTTTTTGGTTTCTAACCAAGTACAGACATGTGGAGTCTAACCTGCAGCCATCAGGACAACGATAAAGAACAATTCTAAGGAAAAGAAAATAAACAAACAAGCTAGTTGAGATTTGTCAGACTAAGTCTAAGTTGAAGTCCAGCCAAGGAACATTTGAATATGCGCTTTCTAAAGGAAAAATATCTATCAGCATTACACAGAGATGCCATTAAGAAGTAAAGGCACACAGTTCAGAAGTTATCTTTTTCTTGGTGCAGGTTGGAAGACAAAAACCTACATTTTCTCAACTGATGGAATGATTTAACTTTTCAGGGCAATTTGAGTGCTGAAGAAGATGAAAATGTTGCAGTCAGAAGTTAGGCTGAGGTTTGGGGTTTTAAAATAATTTATTGATATTTTCACAAACTATTATAACCTCAGTTACACTGCTCGTAATTTTAGTCTGTGTTGTGACTAAGTACACAAAAATCCTTACCTTAGGATCACCCTCTGCATCTTCTTCCTCTTCTCCCTCCTCTTCCCCCTCCAACTCCTATGACAAAATAGAGATAAACTAACAGAAATTAAAACAGGTTAAAAATGCAACTTTTTGTAATGGCCAAAAAGCAAAACAGCAAATTATGTTATCACTGTATTCCAGAGTGTTTCAGATGTCAGCACTGGGCTGATATAAAAGAATTCAGCATCTGTAAAATCTTTAAAAGATGATTTAAAGGTTTCAGCATGGCTTCAGACTCTGCTCCAGTCACTTAGCAATTTTTAAACTTTTATCTAATATGATCTGGAATTTTAGTTCTGGTAACAGGTCTATATGTCTAATTTTGTTCTTTGTTTTGATGTCCCTCCAAAGAGTCTGTTTATTTGGATTACTGTGGACAGGCTATGTATTCCTGTACAGAGGATTCTGCAGTACTTTGCACTGTGTTCTATACACAACTACATCCAAGTAATATGGCATGGGAGACAAATGAAAAACACACATACACTTCTATCAATACCCATCTTAAAAAAAAAATGTTTAGTTATTCAACAGCCTAAGCAAAGAGGAAAAAAAGAGACTGCGTGCTGAAGGCTGCCAGCTCACATCAGACCCCCAGCTTGATAACTTCTCATGTATTAAGAGTATGGTGAACTTGACAACAGTCAGGTATGCACCTCTGACAAATTAGCAAGAACATCACAGTAAAGGCAGTAAAACAAAAAAATGTAATTCTTTGTAAAGGATATTAGTTCACTGAAGTGTGGTAACATTTAGTGGTTTTATGCAAAGCCTTTCACAACATGCTTGTATTCACACAATGCTACTGCAAACAGAGCAGAGCTCTTCGTGTACTAGAAACTCCAGCCTAAATCAAGCCTTTATCCTGAGCAGTTGCACACTCTCCCTTTACTTTACATTTAGTAAAAGTCTTTAAGCCTGTAACTAAAAGGTGACAGCTGAATTCCACTACCTCCAAAGTAATAGATGAGATTGAAGATTCTTATGCAGCACTCAAGAAATTAAGAGCTTGTCTTTAATTTTTGACTGAAGTCAGAAAGCAGCTTTCAAAATACTGGGGAAAAAAAATGGATAAATGTTCTTGCAGAAAGTACTTTTATGAAGAAGAAAAACCAGTCATGAATTTTTTTTAAGTCAGGCATGCTGAACTCTTTTGGAAAGAATTATCCACGAGAGCATTTACAAACAACTATTTTCTACTCCGCATAGAACTATTTCTGGTACTAGGATGCAGCAGCTAATCAGTTATCTATAAAAGATACAGTGTGCATCTCACCTCCTCTTCACCTTCTTCATCTTCTTCAAACTGAAAAACAAACCCAAGGTTTTATTAGCTCTACTAATATTTGCATGAAAACCTCTGCAGTAATGGATGTAACATATTCAAACACAGTAACTGAAACTAAGCCCCTTCCAGAAGCAGATTAACAACCCATAGCAAGCTGAATGATTCTTTCCTATTCCCCAGTAACAGGAATCTCTTCAGTTTTTTTGCTATTCTCTTGTAATTAATACTTCACATCAGTCTAATTAGAAAAAGAGGAGAATGTTTCTATCTACATGATGATTAATAAACAAAATGCTAAGAGCATACATACATTATCATCATCCTCTATAGCTTCACCAGTGAAATACAACACAGCACGAGGGACTATCCTTTCACGGAAGAAGTGTCCAATTTCAAAATCTGCAGCTAAAGTATATTCTGAATCTTCATCCTGTAAGGCAAGTCAGCTTGATTTTTCTAATACAAATGTGTTATGCTATACAGAAGCAGACAAAAGTATTTCAAAGTTACAGGTTTAAGAAAACATTACACTGTCATCATCAACCTTCAGGTCACATGTACTTTCTGTATAATTTGTAACAAAAATCTAAGGTCTAAATCTAGATTTGTAGAATTGAGATTTACTGTAAAAGTTTCCTACTTTCTACATATAGACTACTGAGTCAAAAGCAGAAATAACAGTAAAAATACAAAGTACTCAATAAAAGAACCCTAATAGTCACTATAGTGACTTAGTAAAAAGGACATGGCAAAGTGCAATTGTGCCATTTCAGAAACAAACTTACCAATGACTCTCCATCACCAGATACTGCAAAAAGAAAAGACAGCAAATTTAAGACAAGCATGTATAGTCTAGCCCACCTCAATATTCCAGATAACAAAACACAGTATAAATACCAGAAAACACTGGGGCTATAAAGACTTCAGAAGGTAGCTATTGAACCTTTAATGACATTCATTATGTCATTATGTCATTAATTCATATGAAGTTAAACCTACAGATATTGTACTTGTAAGAATTTTATATGTTGTAATAACATCAAAGCTGCCATGAGGATGTCACAGATTGTTGCACAGAAAATACTCTTTCTACAAAGATGGATTCAGAAGGCATGCAGATCACATTTCCTCTTTCAGGGGAATTTTTTTTTTATTTCTGCATTAATGCTTTAATTACAGTAACTATTTCGCTAGAGCACTACAAACCCTCTCATCTCCCCTGACAGAGGTGATACCACGTAGATGAACATTTTGCCATGAATTTGCAAAGAGGCAAATTTGTTGCGAAGAGGCCCAATACCGTAACCAGTAAGGAAGAGGGTGGGTTTCTTGTTTGTTCAAAACCAACCAACTAACCAGCAACAACAAAAAAAATCAAACCAAAAAACCCCAACACAAAGCAAAACGGATTTCCCTTTTCTACTCGGGTCCCATGGCACTGTGATCCTACTACAAAAGTGATCATTTGGTTCAGCCTGTTCCTTAGTTGAAAACTCAGCTACCAGCAGATGTCAGTCTTATCTTTCTTACACAGTTGCCTCCAGAGTATGTGCTTTAAGTATTTCAAAAACTAGTATAACACAACACGATATAAACAAATCTCCATCCCCTTCTGAAAGCAGCAATGAAAATTAATTTAAAGGGTATTTCTGCACCAAACAACCCCCAACTTTGGAAATACATATCACTTGGTTCTTATCCCCCATGTACATGGGGATTTGCAATTGTAATTAGAAGGACAGGTAGACCATAATATCCCACCACAGAATTGAGAACCAATGTCCATTGTGTTCTGTACATCTCTGGAATCACAGAATGGTTTGAGTTGGAAATGACCTTAATGATCATTTAGTTTCAGCCTGGCCTTGAACACTCCAGGGGTGGGGCATCCACAACTTCTCTGGGCAACCTGTGCCAGTGCCTCACCACCCTCACAGTCATCAAGAATTTCTTTCTAAGATCTAATCTGAACCTGCCTTCTTTCAGCCTAAAGCCATTCCTCCTTGTCCTGTCACTACATGCCCTTGCAAAGAGTCCCCTACCACCCTTCCTGTAGGACCCCTTTAGTCCACAAAATAAACTACTTCCTCTATCCATGTTCGCAAAAAAGTACAATGAGAGATGATGTGCCCAGAAAAAAAGAAAGCTTTGGAATCCATCTGAATTGTTTAAATATGTGAGTACACATCTAACATTGGGCAACTAAGAAAATTACAAAGTTGTATGGAGCATTAAGGATCACTAATTAATCACAGAAGAAACTACAGGACGTTTGTCACTTAAGACAAAGGCTTAAATGAAACCGATATGCTTTAACTTGACCAACACTGGAAGAGATTTCTTTTGCATGTTAGAAACCTAAAATTGATGCATGGAGCCATCCTGTGGTAAAACAAGTCAACCTCTTCACGAGATTCTACATGGGACTGTTTCCATACTACAAATCCTGTTTACAATACACACCTCTTGGCCAAATTGCACAAAATAACATCAGAACAAAATGATCTGTTTGGATGGGTTGCAGTTGCAATCTTCCTCTAATAAGAAGACAGTATACCATGCAGCAGCATAAATAGTTTGAAGGTTTAAGATGCATAAATACAAATACATATAAATAAAACAACATATTTTAAGATTCCTAAATTCTTATTTTCCAAGCTTACCCTTTATAGGGCTGAAGAAGTTAAAAAAAGAATCATTAGGTACTTGTTTGGTAATTGTCCGAACTGTGCCTCGACCCTTGTGTTTCTGCTTTTTCTTGATTGTTTTAACTGTAACATTTTTTCCTTTCTTCCAGTCAATAGTACACCTAGAGACAACATGTGGAAAACAGCATTTTAACAGAAGACAACAGTGAAAATAAGAAACTGAGCAGAGCAGCAACATCAAGGCAAAGATGGTTTATTATTCTCTGGATAAAGCTAGTTTTACACTCACTAGCAAATGTATCTGCTTGACAAGATGTGAAGAGGATGCATCACAGAACTAGAGACTATGCCTATGTTGGACACATCAAATAGTTCCCTAAATGAAAATGCTGTACAAGTTTATCTTTGCAGAGTAATCACTGCCCCCGACCATACTTTAATAACCCCTTTGACCCAACTACTGGAGTTCTGTAACCAAGGATGTGATAAAGTTAGTAGAGAAAAAAATCTCAGATCAGTAGGAAACAATCCTGTCGCTACAGGTCAAGGCAGTATCCTAAAAATAAATGCACAAAGAGTGGGCCAAGGAGAGGGATGTTTTAGCTCTATAAAGAGCAGTGCTCAGATTGACTTGGCAGCCAAGTGCAGCAAACTGCAAAGAGTTTACTTCCCCGTTCTGTTCTGCTACTGTACAAACTGATGCTTTATCTCAATTAAATGTTTCTCTCCATCCATCTAGTTTTACCCAAAACTGCACATGGCAGAGACTGAGGGGCAAACACAGCTAGCTCTCTTGCAATGGAAATAATGGTGTCACAGTAATCCTTAAGCGCCTCAAAATATATTGCCCTGTATATAAATGGCCAAAGTCAACAGTTTTATACTTAACCTATATAACAAGTCACAGACGTTTTCCTGCTCTACTTGTACCAGTATCTAACACCTTTATCAGGAAACATCAACTGAAATCAAAGTTCTGACATACCAGCAATTTAGGAAAGCATTCCTCTGTAAGACTTAAACTGAAAATATTTTGTTGAAATTAATTTATGTTTCTTCAAGGTGAACTAGTCTGTCACTTGGACACAACCTTCACTAACCACGCAAGTAGATGTTTTGCCTCACTTCAGGTGAATACTTAATTCAGAAGCTAATATGCAGCATTACAAGTCAAAAGGTTTTGAGGTTGTCAGGATGCCTTCAAAAAAACCCAAGTATTTGGCATTTCTTAAATGTTAGTTAGAAAAAAAAAACATACAAACACACACACACACACAAAAAAAATCCCCCACCAAAACACATCCTTGAAAGGATAAAAACAAAACTAAAACCCAAGAAAAATATAAACAGAAAGAGACACCAAAGCTAAGAAAAATAAGGTACAAAACCATTTTTCATTTCTGTCAGCTCTGCTTTGGTGTGACACTGAAGCAGAGATCACTGATGTGAAGAGAAAGCCTTAGGTTAGATGGAATGATCTTTTACGCCCCAAAAACTAACGTGGTGTCCAACTTAACAGACTTCCAGAATAGTCTTAAGGATTCACCATTCCACAGTTGGTTTCTAAACACATTTTAAAAAAAATTAAAATTGCTGCATTAGCCACAACTACCAGAACCAAACTGCATGGCCAGTACATTCCAGCCTCAAAACAGACTGCAAGAACTGATGGTACATGTGACCAATTCCTGCCTGATCATAATATATTAACTCCTGCTGGAATAAAAATTGCTGAGGAGATGAAAAGAATCCAAGAGAGTCTAAGGCTACTCCTCAAACTGAGGAGGAGGAGGTGGTCTGTGAAATGTAAACTAAAATTAATTTACCTAATTACCTGGAAATACAAGTTTTGTTACCTCAATTAGTGAAGTATTACGTTTCAACGGCAATGATTTAAAATATACACTCTGTTAAAGCGTATCTACATCCAGACATCTGTTCCTTCTGATGCTGAGGCTAACATCATCATAATCCCTACAAACATTCCCCAGTTTTTAAGTCAATAACAAGTTTATCTTCATTAATCATTATCACAGTAAGCAAAAAAATATGCACTATTACTTCAGAAGCTCTTTTGAATTTTACTTTTCCTTACCCCTCACAATCAACTATTTCAGGTCCTTCAAATGAAAAGGGATCTGTCTTGTCTGGCTCCGACTTCATCTTGTATGTTTTTGTCAGGACTGAATTAGAGAAGTAGTCATTGGGCCCAAAGTGGAACTCTAATGAGAAAGACTGGAAGAAATTTCCATTATAATTTTATGTTACCACGAATTTTTGAAATAACACGTCAGCATAGGTTATCATTAATCCAACTCTGCATACAGGAAAAAATGAGAATTTGATGGCAAACATATCTTTCAAACTAGAGTAGAAGCAGGAAATTTAAGAACATCAACCAATTCTGAAAGTGCAAGAAGCCAGAACCACCGT